AATGCCAAGCTTGAGATCAAATGAACGTCTGGCAATTAGACATTTTGCGCTTTATCAGTAGATTCAACTTTAACCCCTTCAAAATTGTGTAATTTCCCCCCCAAAACAGCTAATTAAGGCATACATGCTAACAGAACTGAGAACTGAAAACTGTATGGTACTAAACTTCATAACTTCCGCACCATCTTTGCAAACTGTTTCACACAGTTTGATCTCGTTTCTTGTTTTTTTTTGACACACTTCTTTTTTCAGTCGTGTCATTTTAAATCCATAAAGACTTTAAAGGTCTTTGTTACACTTAGTTTTGTCACTGCAAACCATTTCTCGTCTCTTAAATTGAATCCCTAGGCCTTTAATGTAGACTTCTGGGGAAGTAGAGCATTAAAAGCATCCCATTGTGGGCTAAAGAGGGGAAGTTGAGGACAATTGTTTGTTTTTTTCTTCTTAAAGCGGAAAACGTGGGTGGAAAAGGACTACTCGTAAAATGTGACTTATTCCTCGAGCCATTCTCAAGATAAGTCACGAGTCAAGAACTGTAGAGGACAGGGTTTTGAGTGAATAAAGGAGTAATCGAGCACACACGCACGTGCACGGACACCTGGGTAAATACAAGCCAGAGAATAGAGAGTAAGGTATAAAGATTTATGGCATGGTGCCAAAGAGATCAATGGCGGACAGCTGAAGAAGGGCTCCGAATCTCCACACAGTTCAGGCCGGACTCGTAAAGACGCCATCGTTCACACACCTCCACCGGTCATCCCCCCATCCCCCCCCCCCCACCCTGTTTAGTTACTTTGGTATGACATTATTCTTCCCCCTGAGAGATCGGAAGCCTAACAATGGCCGTCTGATGACTCAAATGCTGCGTCAGAAACATCACAAATTTGTATTATTTTTTTATTTTAAATCACAAGGCTGCCACTGGAAATTTCTGGTGCCTATTTTTGGTGCAGCCCCACCCCTACTCTAAACCTCCCCACCACCCTACACCTCTCTCTCTCTCTCTCTCTCTCTCTCTCTATCTGTCACCCACAAACACACACACACACTTGGAAAACACACCACCGGTCTTCTTGTTTATTCGCTTCTTGGGGGTTAGTCACAGACTCCCGTCCGTCCCGAGGGCTCGGTCTTCTGTCGGTGTGTGTGTGTGTGTGGGTGTGTGGGAGGGCGGCCACGGCTGGAGGTGTCAGAAGGGGAGGGCGGCTTAAAATAACTGCAAAGGGGGGGGGGGGTGATATCTGTATGGCAGGTTCCTGCCTCTCCCCTCTCTCTCTCTCTCTCACACACACACACACACACACGCCAGCACGTCCACACACACACACTGGGCTGATATCTGTATGGCAGGTCCTGCTTTTACCCCTTTACTCACCCTCCTCTCTCTCTCTCTCTCACACACACACAGAGGCACGCAAGCCAGCACACACACACACACACACACACACCGCCTGTCTTTACAGTGACCGGCCACACATATCATCACACTCCCAGGAAGCAGCAAGCAAGCAAGCAGATCTCCCACAGACGACAGAGACGCATCCACCTGGATTGTACGACCGAGGAGAGAGAGAGGAAAAGAGAGAGGGATAGAGAAAAAGAGAGAAAGAGAGAGAGAGGGGACGCTCTCTGTCTCACACAGAGGATAACGCTTGGTGTTTTTCGAGGGGGGGGAAACCACTGCAGAGGCACGACGGCACAGTGGACCGAAGCATCACGGTGAGAGGTAGGACCGGCCGTGTGTGTGTGTGTGTGTGTGTGTGTGTGTGAGTGATGGGGAGATGTGTGCGTCCAAACCCCCCCTCGTTTTTATTTTATTTTTTTTGTGAAGTATATATGACAATACATAAGGCATCCCTGTTTGGCTGCTCAATGGGCTATTCTTTTATTTTTTTTATTCTATTTTATTTTTTTAGATAGGAAAATAAAAGAAACATGGCTGTTCTTTCGGAAAAAACAACTTTTATACACTTTTTTTTTTGTGCCGTTACGCAGGTTGTTGTGTAGATGCTTTGAACTTCACTGAATTTTTCATTTCTCAACGGTCACTTAGTGGTCATAATGGCTATTGTGGCCCCTTTTTTGTGCTAGGTTGTTGCTAACTGGTCAGATATTGGGAGTCCTAGTGATTTCCCTTCTGATCTTAACTTAATCTAAGTGGACCGAATCATCTAGATCTATTTGGCCAGTGGACGATCGGGTTTAAACTTTCCGATTTTGATTTTACTTCCCATTTGGGTTTGGTTTTGTGTATTTCAGGTAGCCTGTAAACTTGAAAACCAAACCACTTGTTGTGGTCTTAGAGTAGACGATTTGTCTTTTTCCGTTGAATTTGCTGACCGGCCTAAAACGCGATATTGCCCACGGTCCATTTTTATTTTTCCCCACCGCATCAAAGCCCGAGGGTGATAATTCATCAGCTTCTGTGCTTCGGGTGGTGGGGTGGGGGGGATATATATCGTCTGGTAACGGACGGTGGTGGGCCCGGATCGGTTTCCAGCCCTGGGGGGGAATTTCCAAAAGGGCAGCGTGTCCATGAGAACTCGCCGCCGAGTGCACTGAGGACAACCGAAAAGGAGGGGAGGAGGAGGTCGGGTTACCGGGCGTGCGCTCAAGGGGGGGGGGCTCAGTTTGGAAACGCAGAGGGGAGTGGACGGACCAACGGTCAAATGCCGGGGGCCGAGGAAGCTTTTTTCCCCAACGGCAAATAAAGTTCAACTTCGGATTTCTTCTTTGGGTTAAAAATGCCGGCGCAATTATCACGGGCTCAGACCGGGGGGTGTCCTGTGTTGGCCCCCAGGGTCTGATGATGATGTGTCGGTATGTGGTGGTCAGACATTATTAATAATAAAAAAGGATTAGCAAAAGCTCACGGAGATCGTCGCCAAATATTCCAGTTTACGGTTACGTGAAAAGCCGAGGGCTGACATTGAATGCTTTACCCCCCCAAAAAAAGTATGTTTAACAGTTTAGCGGAGAGCCACAACCTTCCGGTCCTGTAGAAATTTGCCTTAAGAAGACCAAAAAGGTTCATATGAATTAAGGCAGAAGGCGGAACAAAATTCATGTTAGCGATGATTCACATTCACATTTAAGGGACTTCTTCTTCTTTTTCTTCTTTCTTTTTTCTGATTCTTTCTTGCTTTCTTGCTTATTAAGCAAGTATGTGCAGAGATGAGCCATGTTTTAAGAAAAAATGCTATCTAAATATATTGCGTGGAAGCAGAGAAACATCTAAAATCTGCTGTACGGGAGTCCCTTGAGGGCTGGATTTGGAGATTCCCGATTTCTGGAGGTATCCATTGCTGATAAAGAATGAATGGTGAGGAACAGGAAGAAAGTTTCCAATGGTATCGTTCTCAAAATCACGTATAACCGTCCAAAAAGGTGCTAAAAACAAAGTACTCAGCACCAAATTGAATGTTACAGATGTATTTTATGAGTGGGAAAACAAGTGTTTTGTCATTTTGATTAATTTAAGTTAAGAATGTTTCATTGTGCTGAAGATCATTGAAATATTTCGATCCCTAATTTCATTTTACAGTGAAAAGCTGTTCAAAACCAGATATCAGATCAATGTAAAGGATTTTAATAATCTCACTGTACAATTCCATGTGGACCACGCCTCCTTAAACTCAATGTATTGATTGAATGGTGTGTTTTGGTCAGCAAACAGCTACTTTGCTTTGGTCAGTGATTGACAGTTTGAGGGTAGTGGGGCAGGGGTCAGCGGGCGACTCGCATTAAGGCGAAACCTCCTGGCACCTTGAGCTTTACCAGCTGTAGCCGGGATTAGAGAGGCTGACTCAGAGGCTTTGGTGGTGCTCGGTTCATCAATGGGGGAGAAAAGCCCGAAAGTGCGCGCCTCGCTTGGGATCAAGGCGCGTGATGATCAGCCTCTAGAAATTTAGATCAAAGATGCTCGAAGCTGGGAGCTTTACTGTTTTTTTCATCCTTTTTATAGGGTTTTAATTTATGCCAAGGATTGTGTTTTTTAGGGAGGAACAAAAAAAAAAAAAAAAATTCTTCAGAGTTCCTTAAAACATCCTTTTAACAGACACAGATTTTTATTTTTTTTAAAACAATTTTTCAACTTTTTTGTACGTTTTTCATTTTGAGATACAGTTAAAATATTCGTGGTTTCTTATCAGGTCTTGATATAACAAAAATTCAACCTCAGACTAAAAAAACTACATCATTTTTTGAACAAAAAATGAGTCAATATGCATAAAAAGTTTGTGGAAAGGAATTACTTACATTCAACCTACATTCAACTTACATACAACCCTTACATTCGCTATAGTTGAATAACATTTAGCTCTCCCAGGAGACTGAAGATGTTTAATCTGTCTTCTCAAAGGCTTTTTCAGGACTAAACCACATGAAAGGATGCTGTACAAGCTAACATGTATGCGTTGTTTACCTCATTTTTGTTCTTTTTGACATTGTTAAATAGCTTCTTTGGAGTTTGTGAACATTTCTTTAGATTTATTTGGACGTGATGGTAGACTAAATGGTAAAAACTCACATTTTCTTGGGACATGTGGCTGCACACCAAGCCCCAAATCATTGGTCCTTTGGGCTGTATTGGTCAGTTCTCGTCGTTTTGAACAGTCTTTATGGAATAGTAACAAGTTAGGTTGCGTTATTAACCTGAGGGTTGTATTTATTTAGCCCTGGTGGACGACGGTGTATCATTCGTGATGTTCTGATGTGGAAAAACCTCATACGACCTAGAGCCTGGGCAAGAAATTAGATGTTGACAAGAAGATTTGCGAGTAGTAACTTTAATTTTGATTTGTTGATGTGAGTCTCATAGTTACCAAAGGCTTCTTGAAAAGTCCTTGAGTTGGACATTGAGTGTTTATGTTGGAGGGTTGCCAAGAGAAATAAGTGTTTCCTCGTTGGAATCAATAAAAAGTGTCACCTTACGCTTTTGGATTATATCGTAATGGAACAAGCTCCAATTCCGAATGTTCGTAATTCCTTAGATAACTTACCCTGGGACGGTCAGGGTCTTCTTGAAGTGATCTATGACGAGAATAAGAATTTATGTCGTATAGTGGAAATATTTTAGTCTGATAGACCAAAACACCAGCCTTTTTTTTTTCAAACCAGGAGATAGTGAAAGGGTTTCTAACTTAGATAATTAACAAGGGACAAAATCTTTATACCGACACAAAGTCTACTTAATTCAATTTGATCTACTAAAGCGCCAAATCACAACAACGGTTACCTCACAGCGCTTTAGAAGCCCAAAAATTCCCACCAAAAGCAAGCACTAGGCGACACAGGCAAGGAAAAACTTCAAGGTTTGGGAAAATATTAGAATTTGAGCATAGAAATAAACCACTTTATAATACTAGTCTGACATCTTTGGTAGTAAAATTGAAATACAATATCTCTGTAAACTGATCCCAAAATGCTTCCGTCCTTCAGACCTGGCTCTCTTTGCACATGGATGTTTCCCAGTTGGAAAGAACAGTACAGGTTGGACCGCCGAGAAAAGGGATTCTCATAACATGCGGAAATTCCCAGTTACAAATCTGATATTCAAGTTCGAGCAACCAGCCTATAATTTGTCGGAGACGTAAATTTGGCGTAGCGACTTGTTAAATGCGAGGATACCGTTTTCTCTCACAGAATTCCAAGCGCTCCGAGCTCTGGGAAAGAGGCCGCTATATATATATATATACCGAGAGGAACACTGGGCCGTCTCCGTTTTCTAACATCCGGACCTGCCGTCTTCTGCTGTCCAGCCCAGTCGAGATAGGTTATCTGAGATCGTTTTCTCCGGCGGGGGTTGGCATCGGAAGACCGGTGCCGAGTTTGCTTTCGCAGAACCCCCGTCCCCTGGGGAGATCAAGTGAAGACAGGAAAAAACTCCAGGAGTGACGACGATAAAAAAAGATTCCGAAGGATGGTCCGGTATCTAAATATTCCTCTCCGCCGCTTCGTATATCAGGCCAGACAGAAATTTAGAAGATTTGTAGATGGAAATGAAATTAAACCCGTCTATTTTTCTGCTTATTGCTTCACCTTTTCCTGCAGGTGGTAAAATAATTCGTATATATGTAACGTGAGGGTTCAAATGAATGGTGTCTGGATCACTCTCCAGAAGGAGAACCGAAAGGATGGAGACAGGTGAACTTTTCCGACCACGCTTTATTCCGTCTTATTCCAACTTTTTTTTAGAACACCCCCACTTCCTTGTTTTTGTCACAAGACTAAAAACAAACCAATGAGAATCTAACCTAAGGAAAAGTAGATTCAAGTAAATATCTTAAAGATGTAGTCGTGAATTAAATAAGATATAACTATATGAACTACCAAATTAACTGAACTTTACATATATCCTCGGTCGTGTGCTGGCCCACGTGGTAATGGGGGAAATTGGCCATTGGAGGCCGTGTTATTATGCGTGAAACACGGGGAAATCGAAAAAAAAAGGGGGATCGCACAATTCCGTTTTTTTCTTCTAACACGTGAATGCCACAGCTTTTTTTTGTCACATTTTTTATTTGAATCCTGAGATATTGCAACAAAAATATGACATCCACAAAGGCCAAAGGAAAAACCATGTGGCACGTGCTGAATACTGAATATTACTGCAATACTGTCACTTAATAATTCAGAACAAAGACAGGTTTGACCCCTCATTGGCTGAAAGGAAACTCATCCAGTTCACGTTAAAGGGGACATATTATGCAAAACCAAGTTTTTAATCATTTGATTATGTACATTTGGGACTGTGGAGGGCCTATCAGCGGGCAAAGTGTGAAAAAGAAGAAGAAGTGGGTGGATTGCCTGTGTCTCATTTGCATTTAAAGAGACAGGCACTCAAAACTGAGCGCTCTGAACAGGGCTGTTTTGGCAGGGTGATTGAACTGCTATTGTGCTTCATCCTTATGGTATTTTGACCAAAGCTTGTCACAGACATTACATGAGGACACCAGGGAACTAGTTTAACTTGTTGAAATAGGGTATAATATGTCTCATTTAAGACACATTTTTAATAGTCGTGTTAATTTGTTCCTCCGACAGGCGTTTAATCACATTTGATGGTCGGTTCGTGGCTTTGGATTTGCAGGTGCGTCATCAACTTTTTCTTTATTTAGTCCTTACGGTACTGTATGTGCAGTGTTAAAAATATACAATGAGGCCTTGCCGTGGTCAAATTCCTCCATAAGCTGTTTGAAAGGGCCGGTCCACTCTCCAGGATGGACAAAGAACCCGGTGAGGAGCACAGCTGCTCTCGGCAGTTTCATGTTTGAACTGAAATATTTGACAAATAAAACGTACATTTTGAGGCGTTACCCATCTTTTGGGAGGCAGTGAAGCAAAGTTAAACAATTTTTTACTTAGTATTGTGCGTTTTAGTCTGATGTAGCCGCTCGATTCAGGGGTACATTTGAGCAAAGAACAGGACTGAGCTGGAAAAGTCTTTTTGATATCTTTATATGCAAAGAGTTGTGAGAGGATGTTTGAACAGTCACCTTAGCATATTTTACATATAGCCAGAAATGTAATATAAGCTCTTAGATAAAGCTTTGACTCTCTCTTGTTGTCCTTCGGGTCGATTTGACCAGATAAAATCAAATAAATAACATGGATGATTTCATACTGTGGTTCCATACTTTGACATGTGAAAAGAATCAGAATATGTGCTTTAAAAGTTTAAATTATTCAGAACAACTGCTGTTTTCACGCTATAAGGAGGTGTTTTTTTAAAATTAATATGAGGTATTTTATGCCACATATGTATACACATATCCTCAGGAGCCAGTCTGAGGATATGTGTGTGCATATATGGCATAAATGGTTATATATGAATGGTTAATATGTTTTTTTCTGCTGTCTAATTTCTTTCCACATGCGTCAAAGAAGCCTTTTTCTTATTTGGCTCCTTACTGGCTGAGCGGCTAGTGTCGAGCTCGGGAAGACGGGTGCCGACGGAAGCGGCCATTTTGGTTTTTGGCGGCCGGCCGTTGGGAGAATTGAGATAGAAACCTAACTAACATTTGGTTTTGCTCCTTATAGCTGTAAACGAGCAGGCTGAAGGGGGATGAAAATCTGGTTTTAGTTCCGGCTAATCAACGAGTCCGTTTTGGTTTTTGGTGCTTTTTTTGTTTTCCCCCCTTCCTGTTCAGGGCTTGCTTGGTACGTCATGATACTCTCCAGCCTTTCAAACGGGCAGTGAGTGTAAACTAAAAAAACAAAAAGAAGTTTGGATATTTTTTTTGCACTCCTCTCCCAAATCCCACTTATGTTTATGCATTTAGCATTTAGCAGACGCTTTTATACAAAGTAGACACAAAAGTACACGTCTCCCCGTCATCATGACTAGTTAATCCAGACATTCTTTGAATCGACATGGTTTTAGGACAACTGGACCAAGAGCTTCATGGACTACAATCTCTCACTCCAACACTCCTAACTGTTTGTGGCTTTGTGTTCTCAATGGGGCTATTACATAGACCAAAAAAGCTGTTCTACCCCATAGTTATGGGACTCCTTTAGATTTTTGTCCACAAAATAAATGATACAAGAAGCAGGAAAGTTCATTTAAGCCGTTACCATTTAAATACGACTGATATTTTGCATCTGTAGATGTAAAATTATTACTGGAAGAGGACTGCCGAGAACCTCTGTGCCTGTTTTTGCCTCAAAAGTGTTTTTTTTTTGGTTTATTCTTGGTTTTATTTCCGGCTATAGAGGCATATCCATCATCCACTCCGTTGCAAACCAGCAAAACCTATCGTAAGAATCAGACTTTTACAAGAATAATTCTCCACAAATGTTTTTTTTTTCAATTGATTCCAATTTTCTGCCTTTTTCTTATGTAGCTTTACCAATTGTGAAACTCTTCTTCATTTTTTCATCCAGCTTCTGTCTGGGATGCTCCTTAAATAAGAAACGATGTAGTTTTTCCTCGCCTGTGTCGCCTAGTGCTTGCTTATGGTGGGAATTGTTGGGCTTCTGTAATTAACTTCAGAGTAGGGTCTGACCTGCTCTGTTTGGAAAGCGCTGTGAGACAACTGTTGTTGTGATGTGGCGCTATATAAATCAAATGGAATTAAAATTGAATTGAATGTATTTATTAGCCTGTTTTCCGCTCGGCAGGTTACGTAACAATGGGGGTTTCCGGACACGGAAAAAGGCTAAATTTGCCCCCATCAAAGCATAGCTGGCTCTTTTAACAAGCTTAGCCCCCCTTTGTGGAGACGCGTCACATAAATAAAGTTTTAACAGAGCTCTCCATCATCCCCGACGTCAAAGCCGACCGGCTCGCGTATTGCTGCTATTTCTGCACCGTGTTCCCACCAGGGGGGCCCAACTTTGGTTGTGAAATTCTTAGCATATGTAACATGATTGCATAAACTGACGCATGTGGGGGTAGGACACCCGATATCCACCATAGCAAATATAAAAAAGACAAATAAACGACAAAAAATTGACAAAAAATTGACAAAAAATTGACAAAAAAACAGAAACGAAAAAGAAAAAGGAAAGGAAAAGAGACATGGAATCCCCCAGTGACTGCTTTGCTTTGCTAGATTCGGCCTCCATTGTTTCCCCCCCCCTCGTGTGTGTTTGCTGTTGCTATAGATACGGACTCAGCCGGGATGAGGGGGCTTAGCCCGGCTCTGGAACTATGCGTAGTTTTCACATTCAATACGCGACCGGGTCAATTATCAGGCTATTTTCTGATGACCCACTAACATTTCCCTCCTGCCCACTATTATTAAAGAGAAGTTTGCTATGTCGGGAACTGAGAGTTAAACCATAGTTAAATGACAGAGATTCTGTAGAAAGTCAGGTTGTTGCCACAAAAAAAAAAGAATAGGATATGATTTTTAAAGAGTATGGAATGTTTTGGTGGGGTCAAAGCTGCCGTAACAGTTTACTGCCCGGAGTGGAGGGTTGACCTGAGGTCACCACTGGGATAATGTGTCAGTAGACAATTATCTAAATGATCCTCCCTACAAAAATTGTATGTTGAATACAAAAAAATACTTATTTACTTACTTTGGTGTGAATTAAATGAATGTATAAGGTTTAATTTGTGATCTTTTAACCAGTTAATAATGGATAAACTTGAAACAATAAGCAATAAAGCAATAATTTCCATCTTAAGTGAACATTTAAATTAAAAGAATTAAAATAATCACTAAAATAAGTTAAAATAAGCTAAAATCATCTAAAATAACTCATAATTTGAACTCATATTGCGTTTCCTTGTAAATAAAACGCATGCAGGCCAGAAATTAAGTCATTTTTACCTCAGGATTCCCAATTCAGAGATTTAATTCATATTTATTTGTATTTATTTGTAATCTGTGACAAAAGTCATACTTAAAAGTAACTCAGGAGTTTTTTTTGAACAACCAGCAAGATACCAAACCCCATTTTTTTCCAACTAATGTGGTAGATCAACATGCTAAACCCATTTTTTTATCCTCCGTCTGTCACTTTACCTTCAAACCTGCTAGTTTCTGGATTTGGATTTAGGATGGGTTTGCATTGAAGCCATTTGATTTTAAAAAGATTGTATTAATCTTTCTGTAAGCAGACTTATACCTTATTTAATAAAAAAAGTCAATTCTTTTCAACAGTTTGAAAATAATGTGCTGCCATCTAGTGGTGAAGTTGGAGTTAGCAGCCAAAAATCCTATCTACCTATTCTATCTAAGTACCTCTGCAAAGGGATGCTCAGCTTTCTTGTATCTTTAAGGACAAACAAGGGATTTTGGCAGCACTCCCAGTCATTTTCATCAGGGAGATGCACCCACTCTCTCCTTGTTTTTTCTGTCCTCACCTCTCCTTCACCCCTTGCTCAGAAATCGTTTCTG